TCGCTCAAGATGCACAGCAGCTCAAAGGTGGCCTGGCTTGGGAACCCACACCCAGTTACTTCTTCTTTTTGCTTGTATTTTATTAATTTGCAATGATGTGGTATTTCCCACATACAAAAAAAAGTACATTGAATAAAATCCATTTCATTCTCACCCCATAAGATAGGAACAACTATGATCACATCATAATTAACAGAGAAACTGAGGCACAAAGTAGTAAAGTAACTTGCTTCTGTACCTCCAGTAGTTGGCAGCGCAGAAATGGAATCCACAACTCTGGCATCAGAGTCTTCCTCATTCTGTGGCTACTTCATTCAGGTGGCCACCACCAGGTTCTGCTACCCTGGATATGCACACCAACCCTCTCCATGAGGGAGTGGCTCTTTCCTTGAACTGAGCTGAGCTGACTGACCTGGGCTGGTGTAAGTGACTTCCTGGAACCTCGTAAGTTTGCAGTGTCTGCCCCAGACCACACTTGGTCAAGGGTCCGACAGAACTCAGTGTCCCAGTTGTCACCATCAAGGACCAGGTGTGAGTGAAGGTCCCACAGCCTTCCACACCTGGTGACACCCACTGAGCACCACATATGACCTCAGACTAGGTCACAAAGAGCAGAAGAATCACCTGGCTGAGCCCTGACCAGGTCCCTGACTATAAATCTACTCATCTGCATTATATGGCAGCCATGGGTTCCACCTTGGGATGCCATCCGCACTGGCTACCTGGAAAACCCCTCCCCCAACTTTTCACCCTCAGCTCCTCCACTATGAGGCCCCCCCCAATTCCATGCTAACCTCCTCAAGACAGATTCCAGCCCTTCATGCTCCTCCCATACCCAGCCATGATACCAAACACAGTCCTACAGGGTTTGGTATCCAGTTCTGTATCTGTCCCCCCTCTTTCAGGCTGGTGCTCTGTCCTTCCTCCTCTTCCTCTCTCAGCAGAGCCTCAGCACCCAGTCTGATGGCAAAGAGGGGCTGAACACAAGCGACAGACCCCTGTTTACCAAGTGACCTTCCATAGCTCTAAGCAAGCACACAGGGCCTTCAGAGCAGGGTCTAACTGCAGCACTGCTGATGTTCTGTGCATGACCATTCCTTGTGATAGGGCTGTCCTGTGCCTTGCTGGACATGTAACAGTATCCCTGACCTGTCCACGCTGCACTCTGCCCCCAGCTTACATGTCTCCAGACGCTGCCAAATGTTCCTCCAGAAGGGGGACAAAATCCCTGTGACTGTGAGCACAGCAGCTGTGATACGTGTGCAGTCACACTGCACATGCCAAGAACCCCAAATAACATGCCCATGTGGCCCTCGGGGGTGCCTGTCCCCTGCAGGCCACACAGTGACCAGCAAGTCCTTGCAATCTAGAAACTCTGAGGTTCCTAGAGCAGGAGGTTGCCCCAAAGATGTCCCCCTTTACAGCAGGAGACTGGAAAGGTGGCACCAACTGTCCTCACCCACGGCCTACAGGCCTGCTCTCTCAGAGCAGTCAGAAGGATCCCCCCACCACACTGGGGACTGAACCCAGGGCCTTCACCCCAAGCTGCATCCCCAACCCTTTTATGAGACAGGGTCTCACTAAGACCATAAGTTGCCCAGGCTGGGCTCAAACTTGCAATCCTCCTGCCTCAGCCTCCCAGAATGCTGGGATTAGAGGCGTGTGCCACCACATCCAGCTGAGAGCACCCTTTCTAAGTCTTTAACCCAACACTGGCCTTTTCCGTCGCTCCACAAACACTAGCATCTCCAACAGGACTTCATGGCATATTCAAAGTCACAAATCTAGTCACTCTGCCCATCTTTCCAAAACCTGTGAATGGTCCCTATTGCCCACCAGAAATGCCAGAAAAAGCTCAGACATGGAAACCAGACCTCAAAGTCCTACATGAGCAGGACTCCATTCATTAGCAGCAGCAGCAGCAAAAGTTGGAAGAGCAGCAGGACCCCATGCCTGAGCACCCACACACACCACGGACCTGCTGAGCCCCTGTTATAACCTTGTGGGGTGGGCACCCATGTGGCTCCCATTTACAGATAAGGAAATAGAAGCTCCGCAAGGGGAGGTCACCAGCCCAAGGTCACAGGGCAAAGCACAACCAAGATTGCTGGGAATGGAGCCCCACCTGCTGGGACCTAATCACCAACAGGTTCTGTGAGGGTCCAAGTCTAGTTCATCACTGCTGTATCTCCGGTACCTCGGACAGTACCTGAGAGAGGTGGCATTCAAATGGGGTAGAGCAAAAGAGAGGAAGGAGGAGGAAAGGCCGGGAAGTGGTGTAACTGAAACCTGGCTGGTGATCAGGATCACCAGGCGCTTCCAGGAGGAAGCGGAAATAATGAGGCTCCCTCCATCAGACAGGTGGAATAGAATCAACCGATTTTACAAAAGGGGTAGGGAGAACCGCAATACAGGCCAAAGGCTCCAAGCCAAACCCTGTGCCCATCAGAATGAGCTTCTGGAGAAAACATCAGTAGCTGTAACCAGGTGTTTCTGACGGTCGGCCAGGCTTAGGACCCACAGGTCAAGGAGAGAAAAGACCTGGTGTCCACTCTTGGTGTGGCACAGCTGTATCTGCCACCAGTGCTGGTCCCTCCTACATCCCCACCCCAGCAGCGACAGTTCCAGGCTACCTGGGAGGTGGAGGGGATGAACACAAGTGATATGAGGTGGGGGAGTTAGCTGCTTCCACACACCGGCATTTTCAGGCCTGACTTCCAGCTCCCTGTCACCTGGAAACTGCTGGCTCTGAGGCAGGAAGAAACCTCTGGGAGCTGTTTGGTGTCACTCAGAATGGGATCGGTGGAGAACTAGGCCTGGCTCCCCGGATCTCCACTTGCTTGGCAGGTGGGTAGACTGGGGAACAGCACGGTCAGACCTAGCAGCCCCATTGGTGGGGTGTTGTCAAACTGCCCTTCAAAGTTACAATCTGCTATACCCTTGACCTCGGAAATATGTCTCCTAGGAAATAGTCCTTTGGGTACACTCACAGGTGCGCCTACAATTCTAACCCCAGGATGACCCTCCAACACAGCTGATGGGAAGGCAAGTTGGGCAGCCTCTTTGGAAAGCAGCCTTGCAGCTCCTAAAATGATCACACAGAGCTGGGCATGGTGGTGCATGCCTGTCATCCCAGCACTGGGGAGGCTGAGGCAGGAGGATCAATGCAAGTTCAAGACCAGCCCAGGGGATATAGTGAGTTCAAGGACAGGAGAGCCTGAACTACAGAGGGAGATCTTGTCTCTCAAAAATAAATAAACAAACAAACATGATTATACAGAGTTAGCACAAGACCCAACAATGCCACACCTAGGCATATACCCAAAAGAAACAGAAACATTAAGATGTGTTATATACATGAACCAACTCCCTATGATGAAAGTAATTATATACTGCAAACATGTACTAATAAAAATTTAAAATCAAACACACAAAAGAAATACATACATCCACTCAGAAACTTCTAATCAAATATTCATACCAGGGCCAGGGATTTAGCTCAGTGGTTCCGCCGCCTGCTGCGCAAGCATGAGGACCCGAGTTTGATCCCTGGTACCAAAAGAAAAGAAAAAAAAGAAAAGAAAAAATAAAATAAATAAATAAATATTCATACCAGCACTGCTCATATTAGCCAAAAGGTAGAAGCAACCAGATGGTCGTCAACAGATAAATGGACAAATTACGGACTATCCCTATACTGCGGTGCTGTCCAGGAATGAAACTGATGCACGTTACAAAGTAGATAAACCCTGGCAACATTACGGTGTGGGGGAAAAGCCACAAAAGGCCACACAGTGTAAGATTCCATTTATTTGAAATACCCAGAACAGGGAAATTTATAGAAACTAGGCAGATTAATGACAGCTTGGGGCTGGGGATAGGGGGTCAGAGGGGAAGGATGACTCAAAGGGATGCGGCCTCTTCTTGAAGTGATGAAACTGTTCTAAAATTGAAAGTCCTGGTGCTTGCACACACTGGTGATTACACGAGTCACTGCATTGAGCATTGAAATGGTCAGCTGCATGGCAAGTTAATTACATCTCAATAAAATAGCTATTTTTTTTTTAAATGCAAAGCATAGTTAGTGTAGTTAATGACCCAGACTGGAAACACCAGAAACTGTCCACCTCTCAGTTAAACCTTTACAATGTGCCCAGACATTCCTGTAACCAAGAAAGAATGAGGCAGAGTGATAAATGCTGATAAGGAGCCTCCCTGAGCTAATTATTAAGTGAAATCAAGGTGCAGGAGTGTTTCTTGATAGTTCATGAGTTGCGCGCACGCACACACACACGCGCGCGCACACACACACAGAAGATATTCCTACAAGACAAAAGGAACTGGTAATGAGCTTGTCTTTAAGGCATGAATGAGGGGCTGGAGAGAGACATTTACAACTTCTTTGATGCTCTGACTCCAGAGGGTACATTTTAATTTTTCTATTGATAACTAGTTAATAAAAAGACAAATTAAAGCAAGTCTATGCATCTGAAAATTCCTTACTGTGCTCCTGCTCCATTTGTTAAAGTCTCAGAAACCTCAGAAACTGAGCCAACTGCCAGAGGGAAGGGAAGTCGGGGAGAAAGGAGGCACCTCCATCCAGCACCAGAACCAAAACTTGATTTGAAAGCTGCAGCTCAGTGACAGCTCTCTGAACTTGGATCCCAAATGAAGGCCTGTCGCCACTGTGGTTTGCAGAGAAATGCAGCCAGCATTTGGCTACTGTCAATCCTTAGAAGGGGCAGACAGCAGACCAGCGTGGAACCACAGGGTCCCTGGGCCTGGTAGAATATCATCTCCGAGTTGGAGGACTCAGGTACAGCCCTATAAAAGGGGCAACACTGTCACACTTTGTTGCTACTAGGCAAATGCCAGTCCTACCCCTCTGATTTTTTAAAACAATTGTATCAAACCAACATGCACTGCAACAATTGTAGCCACTACAGGCAGAAAGATGAAAAGGCACTGGTCTGGCAGATGCTGGGCCTGACTGTACTCACAGAAGCCCTCGATCTTGTCCGCAGTCTTGCTCCAGGCCACCTGCCTCGTTTCCATGATCACCTGGACTGTCCTCCGCTCAGGGGTGGACTTTCGGAAGCTGAACACCGTCATGACCGTCCCCAGCTCCAGGGCTCGCTTGATCTGACTCTTCTCGTATTCCGGAAGGGCGTCCACATCGACCATGGTGGTCATTGTCGGCCACCCAGGGGAAGAGAAAGGAGGCAGGAGAAACGGATGGGAGGCTGGAAGAGCAGAAGAAGGGAGTGAATTGGTCTGAATCAACTGAGAGGGGTTAGTTAACAGAACAAGGGTGTCAGGGGCCCAAATCCTGTCTCCTGCCTACCAGGATGAGTTTTAGGAGAAGTCAGCAGGGCAGAGAGGTTTAAATGGGGTCCGGGTGGGGTAGGAGCCCCTGACCTCAATGACCTGACTGTTAGGCCAGCTTTGAATAACCAAATCACCTTGGCCCGGGGGTGGGGACCCCTCTCCCCAAAGAATATTTGAATAGCCAAAGTAGCCCAGGCTTGCCTCCCCAATGCCAGCATCCATTTCCAACCTGCCTTTCTAACCATCCCTTTATTTCCTCAGCAAAATCAGGCTGGGGAAAACAAAACCAAAAAATCTTCAGAACGGGTCTGTGGAGCAACTGATTGCTCTGGATGGAAATGAGGCCCAAAGGGCAGGAAATATCAAGGCTCAGCAGCCTCAAGTTCAAGTCCTGCTGCAGGTGCGAGCCTGGAGATGGAGGTCCTGGCTGGGCGGGTTGGCCTCCCCTTTGCCAGCTCACCCCAGGGTCTCTGCCCATGGTCTCCCCGCTTCAGCCAGAGATCGCTCGTTCCAGAACATGAACATATCATGCCGCTGTCCTGCTCAAGACCCTGCAGGAGTGCCCTGGGCCTCCTCTGCACCTCTCACCTGTCCTGCCCCCTGCACACCCAAGGCCACAGCATCTACCCCAGGTGGCATCAAGAACAAAGGGCTCCATGACACCTGCAGGCCCGCCTCGATGCTGGCTGCAGACACTACAAGAAGTCACTTGGCCCAGGTATGGTGGGGAATGCCTGTAATCCCAGCACTCAGGAGGCTGCAGCAAGACTGCCGTGAGTTCAAGGCCAGCCTGGGCTACACAGCAAGACCCTGTCTTAAAAAACAAAACAAACAGGGCCGGGGGTTAACTCAGCGGTTCCAGCGTCTGGCTTGCAAGTGCAAGGTCCCAAGTTCCATCCCTGGTACCAACAAACAAACAAGTCACCCAAACCCTCCAGGGCCTTTTCCACCCAGAAGAAGGCAATATTACCTACCTTGTTCTAAGGATTAAACAGGATATGCTATCTCAGGCCCTTAATACAATGATACACAGCTGAGCGCTCCTCAGATTCAGCCAGTATGACTATTACCACCAATTGTTCTGCATCCTCCCGCACCCTTGTTACTCTGCACACCCAAGGTTACAAAGTCACTCTAGAGGGTGCTTCCCCAGCAAAGACCAGGAGGCCTCCAGCCTGCTCAGCCTCCCCAAGTTGCTAAAAGCTGGGTCTCAGTTTCCTCCGTTACAAAATGAGAGCGAAGCTGGGTCAAGGCCAGTGGGGAGGACTTCAGGCTGCAATGCACAGGACCCTACCTGGTCTTTAAGCAGGGCCTCTGTGCATGCTCACCTCACCGCAGGTTGGTATGGTCATTAATCAAGGGTCAACTCTAGGCCAGGCCTGAGCTGGGGACTAGGATGCAAACGAGGAGCAGGGGAGAGGCCAGGCCTTGCCCTTTGGCCCTTCCTCCCTCCCTCCACTGCAGGTGGTAACAGAAGGGCGGTCGTGCTGGCAACATCATTAATGACACCTGCTCTGCCTCCTGGGAGGCGGACCCAACAGACAGTGCGGAGGTGAGGGCAGCAGTAGAGACACAACTGGGGAGGAGACAGGGAGCAGCAAGGCCCCCTCAGAATGGGCCTCAGGAAGCTTCCGAGAGGAGGAGGTGCCCGAGTCCAGTCTGTAAAAAGGACAAGGCAGGAGGGAAGGGGCCTGTCCAATGAGGCAGGACTGGCAGGGTCTGCAGAGCAAGCTCACTGCTGAGCACCAAGGCATCGCCTCAGGACAGGCGCCTGAAAGGGCCTCCAGCCATCCCCCAGGAAGACTGGAAGAAGGCTGCGCCCCATCCTCTCCTAATTGGGTGCAAAGCCTGCTGATCTCATTGACTCAGTGAGAAATGCTGGAGGGGAAAATAAAGTCCTGAGAGGTGCACTTACTCCATGAAGGGCAAGAAGACAGGTGGCGACACCGCACCGCACCGGGACTCAGACCCTAGTCTCAGTCCCAGCCCCCTTCCTTGGCACCTGCTTTCTGGAATTCAAAATCCTGAGACAGAATCTGGCCAGACATTAAATTAGCAGCCCCTGCCCCTTCCAGAAACAGCAAGGGACTTGTCCAAGGTCACACAGACAAGAAGTGGCAGAACTGGGATCTGAACCTGGTCCAGACTGCAAAGCTGTGCGCTGTGCTGACTGCCCTGGGCACCTGACTCTTGAGTCCTCCACTTCAGGGTCTAGAGGGCAGCCCAAGCAGGACCAGAGCAGGAAAACTGAAGCTGCTTTGCAATGCCTGCAGTGAAACAAAAACCCAGACAAGGCACCCAGGCCTCTTGCTTTACAACCTGGCTCAGGGACTCTGGGGTCCGACACCCAAATCCAGCCAGCTCCCCACTTAGCTCTCCACAGTGCAAAGTTCAGTGCCCAAGGCAAGGTGGGGGGGGGGGGGGGTCCCCTGAGCAGAGGGAAGGGACCGGCCTCCACAGCAACCTCTAGCTTGCTTCTGCTTTTTCTCTTAAATGAAAGAGGCTCATTTCCGTTTCTTATCCTCAACGGGTAACTTTGTAAAATAATACAAACATGGCTGGGATAGAATAAGCCACTTTATCACTTTTACATTTCAAGTCTTTCACTTTGAAATAAACTCTTGATACACAAGAACCTCAAACCATGAAACAGGGAAGATTTCTCCTCTTCAGTGCTCTCGGGACCTGAACCCAGCAGAACTGAACCCCTGAGCAGAGCCCCCATTGGCTGCTGTATCTTATACCCCAGCAGCATCAGCAGGCCATGCATTTTTACCAAAGGAACCCAGCAGTGTGGACCACCACAGGATGAAGTATAAATTGGTTCAAAAAAATTCTTTTAGAACCACCTGTGAGCATCTTTTAAACTGTAAAACAGCCCAGTGTGGCACATATACCTATAATCCCAGCCCTCGGGAGGCTGGAGGCAGGAGGATCAAGTGAGTTCCAGCCCAGCCTGGGTTACACAGTGCATTCAAGGCCAGCCTGAACTACATAGTGAGACCCTGTTTCAAAAAACAAACAAAAATGTAAAACAAGCCTATGCTTTGACCCGGCAAGCACACGCATGCACAAAGCGCCAGGCCCAAAAATGTTCACATAAGCAGCATTTGTAACATAGAAACCAAATCTGCCCACCACTGCGGGGGGGGGGGGGGTCCCCTTAAGTATACAATATAACATGCACATTAACACTCGGAAGCTATGAAAAGAATAAGGGTTCCTGATAAACAATTTGACCCGCAAAGATTCACAGCTCTTTGATGAAAGCTGCAGAGCACTGCCTGTAGCATAATCGCATTTTTGTGAGGCTCTGCTCGCAAGGCCAGGAGCTTGCAGACCATCGCGGGCTGGGAGCCGGCCCAGGATGGAAGTGGTGACGTGGATGAGCTTTTCTTTTTTGCGGTTTTTACTGTTTTCTAAATTAAGCGTTCCCAAAAGTTTTCTCCCCAGCGGTTTCCCACGGGCTCCACCTAGGGAGCGAAAAGGGGCTCTGCGCGGGGTCCACGTGCCCAGCCTTGCAGGGGCCACAGGGGCAGCTGCCGCATCAGCTGCGCAGGAATGAGTCTCCCCTGCGCCGCTGCTTTCCAGGCGCCCTTGCGACTTTGCAATCGGGGGAGGTCACTGTTTGGGTCCTGTAAGGCCTCCCGGTAGAACTGAAACTAAGGACAATAACCTGTGCCCACGGGGGGGGGGGGGGCCTGCAGGCAAATAGTTGGGACCTCGGGGTCTCCCTTTCCACGGAGGGCCGCTTCTCAAGCCAGCTAGGAAAGCGTTGGGGGGGGGGGGGGGCGCTGCAGCATCAAGGGAGCAACCAAGACGGGGGCGGGGGTCTGCATCGTGCCCGGGGTCACACAGGCGGAACTGAAATTCAAATCAGGTCCTGACCGAGGCGGCCACCTGCTGCCCCGCGCCACGTCAGCCCCCTCAACCCAGCAGCGCCTCACTGTTCGCGAGCAGGTGACCCCAACGTCTGCGGGACCCCTAGCCTCAACCCCCTGCCCAGACTCAGCCCATCTTCCCCCGTACTTCCCTGGGGTGAGCACCGGAGTGGAGTGGCCTCCTTGGGGCTCCCAAACGTGACCGGGAAAACGCACGGCCGTGCGCGGGGCTGTGCGTACGGGGCGGGGCGGGGGGGGGCACGAATTCCTGAGCAGCCCAGGGCCTCGGGGACACGGGCCGCGCCCGCCCCGCATCGCTCCCCCCCGTCCACGCAGCAGCCACCTGTGGAGACTGGAAGAGCAGTCCTGGGGTCCCCACAGCCAGCGCACCGGCACCGGGACCCCCTGACCCGGAGCCGCCCCTCCCCGCCCGAATCCCATTCAAACCCGGGAGCCACGAACGGCGGGGGGGCAGGGACCCGGCAGGTGGCGCCGCCAGGGGAGAGGAAGGGGCTGGGGGCTGGGAGCTGGGCCGGGACCCACGGCTCCCCCACCCGGCCCGTACCGAGGCCGGAGCCCGACGGCGCCCACCCCTCCCGCCTCTCGCCCGCCTGAGCTCAGGCGCGGGTGCCCAGGACGCGGGTCCCAGGTGCTCTGCGTGCGCCCCGCCCGCCTCCCCTTACCTGGCCGTGCCGGCCTCGGGCTCGGGTCCCCGTGCAGCGCCCCCTCCGGGCTCGGGCTCCGGCTCCGAGCGCGCCCTGCGCCGCCCGCGCTACTTCTGCTTCGCCGCGGCCGCGCCACGTGACCCGGGCCACCGCCCCCCCCCGCCGGGGCGCGCCCACACCCGCCCGCCTGACACCCCGAGTCCCGCCCGGAGCCCCGCCCTCCCCGCGCGCCGGCCCGGGCCACTCGGCCAGGTGACGCGCATCAGTGGAGCGCCTACTGCCTACAGGGGTTTGCGCGCATTGATTGCTCTCCTGTTCACGGCCTGCATTTGAAGTCAGGCCGCGCTGCAGCCAGGCCACCTGGTATTACCTTAGGTGGACACTTAAATAGCGCAGCCTCGGTCTCTCCTTCTGCGAAATGTGAGCAGAACAAAGAACATCAGACAATAACTGACGTCCCGTTTTCGGAGAATGTAAAATGTTCTTTAGGGAAAATTGCTTTCTCCCATTCTCGAGATTCATGAAGCAAGTTTATTCTAACCCTTCCGGTGCATCTTTGATGGAAGCTGCCTTTGTTGTGACTGCAGCCTGCTTTAGTCACCTTCTGTAATGTCACAGCACTGCAGGGTCACTTCTGGTTTTGTTGTTTTGTTTTGGTTTTGGTTTTGGTTGTTTTTGTAGTAGTGGAGATTGAACCCAGGGCCTTCTCATTGAGCTACATCCTCAGCCCTTTTTTAATTTTTTACTTTGAAACAGGGTCTTGCTATGTCACTAAGTTGCCCAGGCTGAACTTTAAATTGTGATCTCCCTGCCTCAGCCTCCCAGAGTGCTGGGATTACAAGCATGCGCCACCACACCTGGCTTGTTTTGGGCTGTTTTGTTCTGTTTTTAGACAAGTTCTCATTGTGTAGTTAGCTGGCATTAAACTCACTCTGTGGCCCAAGTTGGCCTCAGACTCCCCAGTGGAGGCATCTTTGGATCTTGGAGTGTCCCTCTTGCTGTGAACGGACCCCGGGGATCTGTTTACCATGAACTCACACCTGTCAGTAGGGGAGGGGAAGGGGGAGAACCAGTGCCAACCACCACAGACCCTGGCTCTGCTGTTTTTAAGGGGCCCAGAAAGGCTTGTTATGACGCCAGCCACTGAAACCACAGAGCCGCCGTCCCTGGAATAAATGACCAAAGAATCCAATTTCTTTGTCTTGTTTCTTTGTCTTTTAAACTTCAGTTTGTATTTACTTCCATCAGTCTTCTCAAACTTCTCTTTTGGTACATGTTGCACAATGTACGTGACAGATCAGTACGGCCACACACATATAATTATCACCAACCCTACGTGGATTCCCGGGGAATCAAACAAGAACACTTGAACTGGGCCTGGTGGTTCGAGCCTGTGATCCCAGCACTCTGGGAGGCTGAGGCAGGAGAATCACAAATTTGAGCCCAGCCTGGGCAACTTACGGACATAGGAAGACCCTGTCTCAAAAAATAAAAAGGGAAAAAAAATAAAAAAATAAAAAATAAAAAATGAAAAGGGCTGGGGATGTAGATCAGGATGAAAGCCTTGCACTCAATGCCTAGCACTACAGAAGGAGAGAAGGAAAGAAAGGAAGCGAGAAAGGCAAAAAGAGAGAAAGAAAAAAAGAAAGAAAATACTTCAGTTTTAAGAACTCTTGTTTCCATCTGTGAATTAGAACCCACAGCATTTCTGGAGTTAAAGGTCCAGGTGTCGGAGGTAATGGGCCTAGAGACAGGAGTTTGCTTTGTTCTTTTTTCATATTTTTAATTCTTCCTTGCCTCGTTATTTTACAGACCACGCCCCCTCCCCAGAGGAACAACTAAAGGAATCCAGAGCAATGAATTCGGGGGTGTTCGGGGCTCCTAGCTCTTCCTCAAACTTCCACTTGGTTGTTTAAAATGAAGGTAACTGAGGTGTCAACCCTGGCTCCAAGAGGACACGGATATGAAGTGATGCTAACTTCCCAGGGCAACCGCTCCACACGCTCAGGGCACACAGGCCCCGCTGCCAGCCACCTGTCCTAGGCTCCAGGTGCCCCGTCCATGGGTGGTGGCAGCAGGATTGGACTTGGCCTGAGTGGTGGCAGGGCCCACGGGCTCTGCCCCTGTTGCCAGCATGAACAGGAGGTGTCTGGGCGGCAGGGGAGAAGTGCTTTTGGAGCCTCTACAGATTAGTGAATGGGTCAGGAAGTGACCTCAAAGGGTGGAGGGGACTTTTTTCCTTTTCCTATAAAAAGAAAGGGGAGGAGGATAACCTGAAAGAAATGCGTCTTTTCATCAGCGCGATCTCAGCTCCACTCTGGCCCCTCACCTGTCTGCGATGGCACACACTCCCCCCACCCCGTCCTCCACCCGCCAGCAGCCCTGGTGCCCTGGACCCCGAGTTCTCTGTGCCCGTTTCCTCCGGAGATTGTGTGACACTGGCACCAGCATCCGAGGGCGTTGTGAGGACCAGAGGAGAGCTGGGGGGAGGCGCCCGCCTCTCTGGCACTGTCCCCAGGAAGATCGGAGGGTGCTGAGCTTCGGAGCTGGAGGTGCGGCTTCTGGCTCCAAGTCCCAAGGCTGCCCTTCCCGGGCTGTGTGAGCCTCTCTGAGCACCCCAGTCTCCCATCAGAATCACCAGCTCTGTGGAGACAGGCAGTAGCTGGGGTTTGCCAAGGAACGAGGGCCACATGGGTGTAAGGGGTACAGGGTCTCTCTTTGGGGTGGTAAAAATGTTCTAAAATCAATCACAGTGGTGGCTGAACAGCTCTCTGTGCTAAAGCCACCGGACTGTGCAGCTTAGATGGGTGAATTGTGTCATATGTGGGGTTTGGGGTTTTTGCTTGGCGGTACTGGGGATGGAACCCAGGGCCTCAGGCACAACAGGCAAGCGCTCTGCCACGGAGCCACAGCCCCAGGGTGACAAAGCTGTTTTTAAAACTCCTTCCTTAGTGGGCCGGGGATGTAGCTCAGTGGCACAGCACCTGCCTGGCAAGCTTGAGGTCCTGAATTCAACCCCAGGTGCCAAAAATAAATAGATAGATACATAGATAGATAGATAGATAGATAAATAAATAAATAAATAAATAAATAAATAAATAAATTCTTTCCTTAAACCAGGTGTGGT